CTCAGGGGCCCAGCGCCCACACCCCGGAGAGGCAGCGCACCCACGCGGCTAATCCTCCAGGGCTCGGCACACACACCACCTCCTTCCCAGTCCTGAGTTCCGCGGTCCGGACCGTGTCTCCTACTTGGGTCTGGGTCTCTCCGTCCTGCTGGAGCCGAGGCAGGTGCAGGGGCCGCGGGAGCCGGCCGGGCGGGGAGGCAGAGGAGCAAGAGAGGAGGGAAGCGCACGCGGCCCCAGACATTGACCCGGCAGCTCCCTGGAGCGAGGCCACCGCGTGCTCCCCTCAAGTTTTCGCAGCGTATCTTCCAACTGAGAGACTTCAGGCAACTTTCGTAAACCTACAAGCCCACACGTGTGCAAGCTTCCCCAACACAGACGCCGGCTGGCGGCTCTCTCCGTGACAAGGCCACGGCCACCCTGACAAGGAGGAGGGGCAGTGGAGGGGGACCAAAAGAACAGGGTGAATCTGAACCACAAAGCCCCAGGAGAGCCCGTCACGGCCCCACAAGGGGTGACAGCGGGGGAAAGCTCAGCAAGCACCGGCCGAGCAGCCCGGAAGTGAAAAGGGCCTGACAGTCAGCTTCCCGAGGGCAGCAGCGGCCACCGGTAAGCAAACACGCAGGCCGGAGGGCCCATCGGGACGCTGTCGGGGCTGGGCTCCGGGCTCTCTCGTGCCTGCAACGGACCCAGCTCCCAGGACACAGCACCTCCAGTCGCTCGCGTCGCCTATGGCTGCTGGGGCAGGACCGAGGAAACGCAACACAGACCGAATGGCCTGAAAAGCCACAAGCGTTCACCGTCTGGCCCTTTGCAGAAAAGTCCCCATGAGGGAGAAGCGCTACGACAGCCAGTGCCTGGCAGGTACCCCCAGGCCTCTACACGGAGCTTCGATGCCCATCGAGCCCCGTGTTCTAGAAACAAGTTCCTTTCACGGTGGCCGTGGCAGAGGCACTGGTGCCCACAGACCCTCCATCGCCCAGCCCACCCCCAGTGCCTGGCGGTACAGCTGGCCGCGTCACAGTGCTGCCCGTGGCCTGCCATCCCCCACCGGACGTGTCCCCTGAGCAGACATAGGTATCAGGGTTAAGTTTTCCGGTAACATATTCTAGTCCACCCTGATATCTTACAAAGGGACAAGGGGGTGCGGTCCCATCTGTGTCCCTCTTTTCCCCACAGGGCACGGAGCCTCCCCCTCTCAACCCTAACCGAATCCTAAGCCAACTGCGAGGCCGCGATGACACTGCAGAGGCCACGGAAAAACTCGTGTGTCTGATAGAACGCGAGACGCACTCGGCACAGATGCGACAACCACGGCCGACTAAACCCTTCCCAAGACCACAGGGGAGAAACGACAAGCCCAAAGGTGACGTGGTCAGGGACGCAATTTCTCTTTGGAGGATCATCCTGCATCACGTGATGAAACACGCGTGAGTTTTCCAAGATGTGGGACACGGCCTGCACTCCAAACCCACCTGCACCACTCAGCAGCTCGGTGACCTCACGTGCCCCCAACTGCTCTCAGAGCTCAGTCTTCTGATCTGTAAAGGGGGATATCATCGTCCTCCAGGGATGTGTGTGAGGAGGGAAAGACCAACAGCCTGCGCGTGACGGGCCCCACCGGACACAGCAGGGCTGCCTGGAGCCAGCAGCCGCCTCGGGTCCGTCTGCGGAATGGGGAGAGAAACCGCAGCCGCCCCAGGCCACGGCTGTGAGGAACATGCTTAACCCAGTTCTCAATGCGTATCAGCGCTCAACGAAGGAGTCGTGGCTACTTATTAAATGATCATTTAAAGTCTGCAAATAACACGATTTCTTCAAGAGAAACTTGTTCGGAGATGGAGACGCCCCAGGCTGTTTCTGAACAAGGTAAGGGGCACCTGGAGAACAAATTAACCAAAAAAAGGAAATCTGAGATTTCCTATCATTTAAAAAATTACATTGAGAAGCTCAATCACTTTCTCCAACTTCCCGAGTACAGTGCTGACAGAAATCTAAGATTTTAAAACTATGTTGGGAGGGGCGCCCGGGTGGCTCGGTCTGTTAAGTGTCTGACTTCGGCTCAGGTCCTGACCTCACGGTTTGTGGGTTTGAGCCCCGTGTTGGGCTCTGTACTGACAGCTCAGAGCCTGGAGCCTGTTTCGGATTCTGTGTCTCCCTCTCTCTCTGCCCCTAACCCACTCGCATTCTGTCTCTGTCTCTCTCAAAAATAAATAAACATCAATAAAAAAAATTTTATTTTAAAACAAATGTTGGAAAACGCAAGTAACTGGGCTAACGCCCTGCGTTTGTCCCGCTGCCGGTCCTGACCCTCCCCGGGCCGCACTGCACCCTCCACATCCCATCACCGGCCCGCCCCTCGACACCGGGCTCTGTGCTCACCTCCTCCAGCCTGCGGCCCAGCGAGTGGGGGTGTGCACGGCCACCAGCACCAAGGGATGTTCTCCCCATGGCCCTCACCCACCAGGATGACCCTGAAGCGATGAAACTAGCCAGTACCTCCTCTCACTCTGTGTTCCCAGGCCCGACCGGCCCGCAGCTACTGGTGACAGCAGAAGGACACTCAATTTAGGAGACAAAACGTAAGCAGGGACTTGCATGTGTAGCTACTGTGATGGCTACAGGAATGTCACCTGGAAGCATCCAGAAAGCATCGGAAGTGGAGGCTAGATCCCCCTAGTGGCGAGGAGGCAAAGTGCCGGGAGCTGAGCCACCTCTGCAGACTCTCTCGTTTCCCAGCCCCCAAAACCTGTTTTCCCTCCTCCACTTTGGAAGTGATATCCTCTCCCACGTCTAATCCTCCTTCGCTCCGATGACTCTGTTATTAGCCACTTAAAACTTCCACGCCTGGAAGTGGCATCCCAGTGCAATTACTGGTCAGAAGGGAAGGACCAGGCATCCTACAAGGGAAGAGACAAGAGGCCAACCCCTTCAGGTGACCCCGGGCAGGTTAGCGTGGTAAAAGGAAAGACCATCTCATCTTTTCTGTCACCCCTGCCCAACCTCATCAGTTCAAGTCACAGAGGTTAAGGAACCTGTCCTGGGACAAGACACACAAAGCAGGACCAAAGAAAGCCTGAGACCGATTTGCTCCAGTTCGCCCAGGTACCTCCTTCTCCCACGTCTGGGGCTCAGTCCACACACTCTCCAAAGGCCATTTCTTCTTCGAGAATCCTCTCAATCCACCGAATGTGAACTAAACTGTGCAGAGAAAAATCTCGCCCCGTAACTGCCGCACGAGTTGCATTCCCGTTACGGTGCAATGAAGACTAAACAGTGGACACCTGCTCCTCACTTTCACGGACGAGAAGACACAGCTAGTGTGGGGGGAGAGTAACAAGTGGGAAGAACGCCGCGTGCTATTTCAACAATAAAAAGATGAAGCCTCAACACTGCCATCTGTCTTGTTTCCCTTTTCTTGCACACTTTACTGGAGGAGAGAGATATAAAGAATATGCAACAAATAAAAATAGAATTATAACTTGTTTTTACCCATAAAAGTTGTCTATACAGTGAATTTTTCCAAATAATAAAGATAACATCTGTTGGGCCACCTTGGTGGCTCAGTTGATTATGCGTCCGACTTTGGCTCAGGTCCTGATCTCACGGTTCATGAATTTGAGCCCCATGTCGTGCTCCGTGCTGATAGCACAGAGCCTGCTTGGGATTCTCTCTCTCTGCCCCTCCTCCACTGTGTGCTCTCTCAAAATAAATAAACTTAAAAAAATTTGTTAACCATAAAATTTCAAATAATTTTAAACACAAAAAGTAGAAAGTAAAATCCATTCCTCACCCCCAATATTGTGGAATCATTCAAATCCTTTTCTCATATGCAACTAAGAACTCCATTTTTACATAAAATGACATAATACTATATGTAAATTTTATAACTTGCTTTCTCACTAAACAATACACACTGTTGACATCTTTTCATTTGAACTGACATTGATTTACCTCACTCTCTTCAAAGACTGCAGATGAAATAAAATTTAGCAATGAGCCCCCTCAACTGAGCCTGATTCCCTCCTCTCTCGCATGCAGTACTGAGCCTGATTTCTTCCTCTCTTGTGTGCAGTACTGAGCCTGATTCCCTCCTCTCACGTGCAGTGCTGAGCCTGATTCCCTCCTCTCTCGCGTGAAGTACTGGAGTCTGAGGAAGGCGGGATAAAGTGTGAGGCAGACAGCCGATGGGGTGACACACTCAGGCAGACGCTAACTGACACTGAAGGCCACCTGACCACCACCTAATGCTCCCAGCACATGGCTGTCAGCCATATTTCTTTACCCTGTAATCACATGGGCTAGCTTTTTCTCATTTCAAGTTTCAAAACTCCTTATAAAACAGAACTTTGGAGAAAATATTACATGGGCATTTTCTCTTTGTTTCGTCTCAGGCTCTACCTTCTCCCAACAACACCTCATTTGACACCAAACTAAATATGCATGAAACAAGACGAGTGGAATTCACAAAAAGCATGAGGGGAAGTATCGCTTTTATCTTCCCATCAGTACATGTGGTTAAGACTGTCCAACTTACGGGCGCCTGGGTGGCACAGTCGGTTAAGCGTCCGACTTCAGCCAGGTCACGATCTCGCGGTCCGGGAGTTCGAGCCCCGCGTCAGGCTCTGGGCTGATGGCTCAGAGCCTGGAGCCTGTTTCCGATCCTGTGTCTCCCTCTCTCTCTCTGCCCCTCCCCCGTTCATGCTCTGTCTCTCTCTGTCCCAAAAATAAATAAACATTGAAAAAAAAAATTAAAAAAAAAAAAAAAAAAAAAAAAAAAAGACTGTCCAACTTAACACAGCTTGCCAGATAGGAAGATACAAGAATATTCACATTAAATATTTCTGGTTAATGAGACTATTTCCAGACATTTAGGTCATCCCCACTCCTCTAAGAAAAATATTTTACTGCCACAGTGGCCTTGAACAAAGCCTATCGAACAAGAGTGAAATGGGGATGTGTGCTGAAACGAGGTCAAAGCACCTTACCCAAGCGGCTTATACCTTATACAGCGGGCGGCGCACGTCGATGGGGCAATTCTGTATTACTTCATCAACGACATCCGAGATGGACTCCATAAAGTCTGGGTTGGCAAACTAAATTTCATACAAATGTAAAAGAAACATTATACATTTCTGTCAATAGGACAAAAGAAAAACTCTTCTCAAAAAGTAACTTTAACAAATACAGAATTCACCATTCCTTTAAAAACTTCACTTTGGAATGTTCAAATGTGTCAAATGAATCCCATGTGACTGTGTGTAGTGATGATGACATATGTCCCCTTAAGAGATGAGACGTGTGATGGGGCGCCTGGGTGACGCAGTCGGTTGAGCATCCGACTTCAG